TACAATTTTCTGGAACCATTACAGAATGGGAGGAAATAATTTTTTTTTTCAACCTTTTACTATGGAATATTTCAAAGGTATAGTAAAGTAGATAGAATAGCATAATGAACCTGTCATGGATTGAATTGTGTCCCCCAAAAGTATGTGTCAACTTGGTTAGGCCCTGATTCCCAGTATTGTGTGGTTGTCCTCCATTTTGTGATTGTAATCTTGTGTTAAAGAGGATTAGGGTGGGATCGTAACACCCTTACCAAGGTCCCCTCGCTGATCAAATGTAAAAGGTGTTTTCCCTGGAGAGTGGCCTGCACCACGTTTTATCTTACAAGAGATGAAAGGGAAGCAAGTGGAGAGTTGGGGGACCTCATACCACCAAGAAAGAAGCACCGGGAGCAGAGCACATCCTTTGGTTCCTATGCAGAGAAGCTCCTAGTCCGGTGGAAGATTGATGACAAGGACCCTCTTCCAGAGCTAACAGAGGGAGAAAGCCTTCCCCTGGAGCTGACACCCTGAATTTGGACTTCTAGCCTACTTGACTGTGAGAAAATAAATTTCTCTTTGTTAAAGCCATCCACTTGTGGTATTTCTGTTATAGCAGCACTAGATGACTAAGAACCCATCACCCAGCTTCAACGATATTGCAGATTTCTTTTCAAGCCTTCCACCTTTTCTGTCCTGAAGAGTATCTTAAAGAAAATTTCAGATATCCCATGATTTTACCTAGATTTAAAAAAAATAGTCCATATTCAGATTTCCCTGATTGTTTCAAACATGTCTTTTTACATTTGTTTGACTCAGTGTCCTAACAAGGCTCACACCATGCAATTGATTGATTCATCTCTGAAATAGTTTTAATCTATAGGAGTCCAGCCCTGCAGACTGCCACATCTTTCTCCTGTGGAGCGGCTGGCTGGTGGGTTTGGGCCACTGACCGTTTGGTTGGCAGCCGAGCGCTTTAACCACTGCACCACCATTCCTCTCTTTGAGTTTATGCCACTTATGTAGTGATTTGTCATGTGGAATTTTCCACAATCTGAATTGGATGATTACATCCTTGGGATGGTGTCGAACATGTTCCTTCTCTGTGTTTTTTGTGAACTGGGAATTAAATTTAGAGGCTTGATTAGATTCAACTTCAGTTCTTTTGGAAAGAATACATCATAGGTAGCACAATGTACTTTTCACTGTATCGCAGTAAGGAGATTATGTTATGTCACTTCTAGTGACAATAAGAATTGTCAGTGGGTTCTAAATCAGCCTGATCCATTCTTTGTGAAGTTTTGCTTCGGTCTTGACCTAATAGTTTTAGCAAAAGGATTGATGATCATCACGTAGAACCATCATTTCATTGCTGTTGTTGTGTGCCACCAAGTCCATTCTGACTCCTAGTGACTTTATAGGACAGAGTAGAACTGCCCCGTCGGGTTTCCTAGGCTGTAATCTTTACAGGAGCAGATTGCCAGGTCTTTCCTCCCGTGGAGCTGCTGGTGGGTTCGAACCACTGTCCTTTCGGTTAGCAGCCTAGAACTTGACTGTTGTACCACCAGGGCTCCTTGTCATTAGGAATTGCAAAATGGTGATTTTATTTGCTAATTCTATTATTCCATCTGCATTTATTAGTTAGAATGCTTCTATGATGAAGAACTTTATCAATTATTTAGCTACTCTGAAATACAGTTTATATAGGAAAGGCATGATAATTGCTTGGTTCTTTTCCATTTATTATATTTCAGAGTTATGCATTGTTGCCTTAGCAACCTCCAAAATCAGGTGACTAATTTTTAAAATATCATTATGTATATTTCATGAATTTGCCTTTCAATCCGTTGCATTATTTTTTTTAATGCTTGTATTATCCCATCTTTAGCCAGTGAGAACTCATTCCACTTGGCTCTTATGTTTTTTGACGTGACCCAGTAACTTTGATAGATGTTCACTTTTTGGCACAAGATTTCCTAAGCTCATTTTATGCATTTAAGGTTATAGAGTTTTAAATTAACTCTGTTAATTTTTTTTTTTTTTTAATATTGGTATCTGTGTTTTCAGTATTGAAAATCTTGGTTGTTGATGGCATTTACATATTTTTTTCTCCCTCTCTCATTCCCTGTCTGGTACCAGATAATTGTAATTATATAACTTTATGTGAGAAAGAACCAAAGTTAAGTAAGTGCTCAAACAACACAAAAACTGTTGTCTTAGGGAACCCAGTCTTTTTTTTTTTTCTTTCTTCGTAGCTGGTTCACCAAATTCTTGTGGGGTACCACTTTTAAAATAAATTTTAAAAAATGTAACAAGTTTATACAAAAATGATAGTTCAATGACTTAATATTATTTATGAATGGTGGGCAGCTCCGGAGGCAGAGTTTTTATTGCCAGTATCAACAATGTGTAAGGTAGTACAGCATTATACACTGAGTAGGTACTCAATAAATATTCTTTTTTTTTTTCACCCTAGATGTGAGTGATTTTAAAAGGAGGAGCTCTATGGGCTGGAATCCCAAAAGAATAGTGTCTCCAGAGGTCTCTGTATTGTTAATAAAAGGAATGGCCCACATTTGATTCTTATAAGTTTGTTTTTACACTAGCATTTCTCCAGGAAATGCTGATTGAGTTCTACCACTCTCAGATTAAAACCTGAATATGGCAATGAGTTCTGGAAATGCTCTAATTTCGCCATCATATTTGAGAGAGAGTTTTGCTGGATATATAATTCTTGGCTGGCAATTATTTTCTTTCAAGGCTTTATATATGTCATCCCATTGCCTTCTTGCCTGCATGGTTTCTGCTGAGTAGTCCGAGCTTATTCTTACTGACTCTCCTTTGTAGATGACTTTTCGTTTATCCCTAGCTGCTCCTGGTCTTGGCAAATTTGATTATAATATGTCTTGGTGGCTTTCTTTTGGGATCTGCCTTATGTGGGGTTTGATGAGCATCTTGGATAGGTATCTTCTCATCTTTCACAACATCAGGGAAGTTTTCTACCAACAAATCTTTAACAATTGTCTCTGTATTTTCTGTTACCCGCCCTTTTCTGGTACTCCAATCACTCATAGGTTATTCCTCTTGATAGACTCCCACAGAATTAGGGTTTCTTCATTTTTTAAATCCTTTTATATGACTTTTCCTCAAATAAGTTGGTGTCAAGTGCTTTATCTTCAATCTCACATTCTAACTTCCACTGCCTCAGTTCTGCTCCTGTGACTTTCTATTGAGTTGTCTAATTCTGAAATTTTATTGTTAATCTTCTGGGTTTCTGGTTGCTGTCTCTGTATGGATCCTTGCAGCCTGTTAAATTTGTCATTATGCTCTTCTCTAATCTTTTTAATTTCCTCTGTTGCGTGTTCTGAGTTTCGACTAATTTCCTTCCTGATATCTTGAGGAGTTCTGTATATTAGTCTTTTGTATTCTGCCTCTGTTAATTCCAAGAAATCTTCCTCTGGAAAGTTTCTAGATTCTTTATTTTGGGAGCTTGCTGAAGCCATCATGGACTGCCTCTTTATGTGATTTGATATTGACTGTTGTCTCCGAGCTATCAGTAAGTTACTGTATTTATTTATTTTATGTTTGCTTACTGTTTCCTAGCGTCTTGTTTCGTTTTGTTTTATATGCCCAAATAGGCCGCTTGTGTGAGCTAGTTTGATTATTGGCACCTTTGAAGCTTTAATGTCCTGTTACCAGGTGGTTAGATCTGTTACTAGGTATGTGAGCCCAGGAGTCTGCCCACTCTTCCTGTATGGATTCAGCTCAGGTGTCCAGGTAGACAGCCAGCCACCAAGTGTGTGGTGCAGGTTCTCACCTACAGCCCTAGACAGGCATGGGTGATTCATGTAGGCACAGGCATCCAGCTGCAGCAGGGGGGCACACTCTGAGCAAGGCAGAGGGCTGATGGCTGCCTCCGAGTGTCCAGGAGGAAAGTGTGTCCCTGTTCCCTAGAGCACGTAGGTGGGTGAGTTTTGCGGCTGGACTATGAGCACCCAGTGCTGTTGACTGTAAGGTCTGGGAGGGCACCTCTTATTCTTGGGTCCCTATTGCAGGTGGCTAGGTGGCGTGGGTGGAGCCACCAGTCCTCGGGCCCCTGATGTGGGTAGGTGAAGACCGTGCTTAATGGGCAGAGCAGTGTCAAATGTCAAGAACCTGCCACTTCACAGCTGAAATAGTTCAAGTTAGACTTCAGGTATATACCCTATTGTACTGTGGTAATGAGGGCCTATGCTGTTGAAATGGGCCCACACAAATCTATGCAGGGGGAAAGGCACTCAGAGTCGGTGGATCCCTTATGCCTGTGACTAGGCAAAGGAGCTGTGCCTACCCTGAGTTCCTGGCTTAGGGGAGCCAGCAGATTATTTTCCCTCTGTTTGTTAATTTGTTCGCTCTCCAAGGCCGGGAGAATAGCCTCAGGGTATGTGACGGGTCCTACTTCCGGCCTGGGGGACTTGGCAGCTGCTGAAGCTGGTCCAGGACCCAGTGCAGAACAGGGAGCAGTGAGGTAAATAGGAGGGAGGTTTCCCCTAAGGGGGGTGTTTTTGATCCATACGGTAGGCCAGATGGAAGTACTTATCATTCACTGATGGAGGGCTGCTTCTCACTGGTTCTGGATGCCGCTGCATCTCTCCCGGTGCGGAAAACACCTCTTGAGCGCCACTGCTTGCCTGCCTCACCGCTCACCTCCGAGCTGATATGGGCTGAAGGGCTCCGGCTCCCGGCAGGTCAGGTCTGGCAACTCCTCACTGCTTCCAAACCATCTCTCCCTCCCCCTGCCACTCAGTCTGATACCTCAACTTTGCCTTTGATGTTCAAGGCTCCTAGATTGTCATATGTAATCAATTCATTTGTTTTTTCAGGTCTTTGTTGTAAGAGAGACCACCAGAAGTGTCTGACTACTCTGCCATTTTGGCCCCGCCTTCCCGGCAATGAGTTCTGTTCAACAGACAACGTACAGTTATTTGGTGCTGATGCTTCTTCAGTACCAATAAGAAACTAACTTGGTTTAATTCTTTTTCCAGATGATGGACATAGGAAAGCTCGAAATGCTTATCTCAATAATTCCAATTATGAAGAAGGAGATGAATATTTTGATAAAAACTTGGCACTATTTGAGGTAATATTTAGAGAAAACTTGGGATAGGAATTTCAGAAGCAGAGATACAGGGTAGCCATTCCCTACACCATTCATTTTAAAGCAGTACAAGCTGGATAATTTAATAACTGTTAAAGTATAGTAATTATTATAACTTGTCATTGTAGTTAATTTTATCTGTATAACTATAATGAGTAGCCAGTATATCAAACTTTTATGAAGTAAGGGGGAGGAATGCTCACATCTCAGGTATATGGAGCACCTTGCCATCTAATTCAGCTAGGAATTAAATATTTTCATTGTAGTTATCTTTCTTCTAAGTATAAAGCAGTGTATTTCTTAACCCTATGGTTGGGAAGACTATCATTTTAGTTAAAATTATTAAACAGAAATCACCGTAGGAAGCAGGCTGCTAGAGTAAGAGGACCTGTATGTCTCACCTGACCAAAACAACATGGACTCTGATGGAGTCTATGGCCGCATTATTGAAGGAGCCTGGTTTATTCCAGCACTACCTTTGTCCGGCTTTGGAAAATGATGTAAGTGCCCATCTCTCAGTATACCTATTGTTTAAATGATACTTTCTTTCAAGAAAAGTTCTGAGGTGAGTAGTTCAGTCACAGAAGTTTTTCCTAGACCTGTCCGTACTTGGTGGTGTAAACAGCCATGAATGTTAGTGGAATGTTAGAGGCCTTTCGAAGAAAGGGAATCCCACGGTGAAGGATCACGTTACCAGTGTTCTTTACTAGGTTACAGCCTTTTGTAGGGGTCAGTATGAGTTGCAGTTGACTCGACAGCAACGGGTTTGGTTTCGGTTTAATACAGTTTTAGAAGCCTGAGTGGTACAGTGGTTAAGCGTTTGGCTGCTAACCAAAAGGTCGATGGTTTAAACCCACCAGCCACTCGGCTGGAGGAAGATGTGGCAGTCTGCTTCCGTAAAGATTTACAGGCTTGGAAACCCGGTGGACAGTTCTTCTGTGTCCTGTAGAGTTGCTATGAGTCAGATTCAACTCAACGGTAGTGGGTTTTGTAATATGATTCTGTTTTAACTGTAGATAAGTTGCATAGCTATTAGAAGGAACAATGAAACTTTTCACTTGAGAATTTCATAAGGATTCATGTTGCACTGATTGAGTGTGGTATTTATTTAGTTTTGGGGGGAGAATAAAGTCTCCTCGATAAATTTTCTTAAAATGTTTAGTTGTGAAGTATTTTCTCTTTTACTTGCAGTTTTTTAGTAGAGGGGTTATTTTGATGCTTGTTTTCAGTGTTGTTCTTCACTCATTTCTTCTGTATTTCTGGCTTCATAGGAAGAAATGGACACCAGGCCGAAGGTGTCTTCTCTCCTCAGCCGCATGGCCAATTACACAAATCTGACCCAAGGAGCAAAGGAACACGAAGAGGCAGAGAACATCACTGAAGGGAAAAAGAAGCCTGCCAAGGTAACAGGGATAAAGAACAAGAGCCCTCTATGTAAGAAACAGAGAACTAGCCAGGGCATCATTCTGTGTTCAGTACCTATTTACTGAATGCTTGATATACACCAAGTACTGTTCCAGGCACTGGGGTCGTAGCATAAACAGCACATACAAAGTCCTGCCTGTCATACAGTCTAACGTCTAGTCTGGGGAGACAGTCCTTAAGCAAAATACATAACATATTAAGTGTTGATTAACGCTTAAACAAAAAGAAAGCAGGGAAAGGACTGAGACTGGCCAGCAAGGGATCGGGGGTGGAAGGGAAGGCCCTCTGACAAGGTGATAGCTGAGCAGAGAACTAAATAACGTGAGGGAGTGAGCCACGTAATAGCTGAGAGAAGAGCATTCCAGGGAGAGAGACTAGCACTTTAAGAGTCCACGTCCGTCTGCCTTCCTAGCAGATTCCATCTGTCTGTTGCAGAGTCGTTGGGTTTTTTAAAGACCAAATACCAGTTTTTCTCAAAATGAAAATATGGAACAATACACAGTTTAGCTTTCTGGTTGTTCACCTCTTTGAAAAGGGTTAAGACAACCCTCAGATCTTCGTTTTTCCAGTTACTGTTAAGAATTTGCCAGATTCTGAAGGATTCCATTCACTCATTATTCCATTTTTATGAATTTGAAAAGGAAGCTAACAGTTTTGAAGAACAGAAAATTTTAAATTGTTGAAGGCCCATTTGTGGCTAAATGTCTATATGTAAATAAAAATATATAAGGCCCTATATAAAGTAAAAATGTATAGCTCTAGGAATATGAAAAGATATGGTGGTAGTAATTTGTGACATGGAGATTTTATTTGTGCTCCTTTTAAGATACTGTGTAAACTTTATCTCTGCTTGGAGGTGAATACATAGTTAGGGAGTAAGTCTTTATATAGTTGAAGACGTAAAAGCATCTCTTGTAGATGACTGTGTAATTTTTCTGCTGTCAACATCCTTCTTTCCAGGTCCCCCAGATGGGTACCTTCATGGGCGTCTACCTCCCATGTCTACAAAATATTTTTGGAGTGATCCTGTTTCTACGCCTTACATGGGTGGTGGGCACAGCTGGAGTTCTTCAGGCCTTTGCAATTGTTCTTATCTGCTGCTGCTGTGTAAGTCCTGCATCGGTTCCTGGATCATCTAGGACACTGGGAACTCTCAGGAGTCTATGCATATGCCCCACAACTAGAGCTTGACCTCTTTGGGAACCAAACAAAGGATACTAGGGAAGACCTACGATCTCAACAGGAGAGATTATTCTGATATCAAAATCTAAAGGATTGTCAGTTGTTTTGTGTCTGTTACTCACTGCTTGATATTGATGATATGATGTGCTAGAAATTGCAAAGGAAGACTTCTAAAGGAAGTAGAAAATATAGTCTCTTTCTTCAAAGAATTTAGAGTCTAAGCCATTTGAGCTTTGATAGCACCGAAGTTGTGACAGGCAATGTGGTAGAAAATGTGATTCTCTACTCCAGTACAGCAATGAGAAACAAAACTAGCTAAGAGTTTCTTGAGGTTGAAGAGTATTTTGTTTTGTTCTGAAGTCTCTTCTGTTGTTCTTTTTCTAGAAATTCAGGTATTCTTTCCAGGTCTTCTCTCCACTATTCTGAGAACATACTGATCTTACTTTAATTTGAACTTCTTCTATCCGTACATCCTAGCCACATCTATCAATACTATTATTGTACATTTCTACTGTCTACTGACCTCTTTTATTATTATCACCATTATACCCTCTCTGTGCACTGTGCTTAGCTGAGTACTCTACAGCGTAGATTAAGCAGACATCGTCCGTGTCGTTAGTAACTTTAAATTAACGGCATCACCATTTTTTCAGTTTCTCAGGCTTGAAACCTCAAAGCCATCTTTGGCTCCTCTGTTGCCTTTCCCATCTAACCAACCACCAAGGTCAATCGAGCTTCCCTCTGAAATCCCTTAGCTTAAGCCTTCCTTTGTGTTATCGGTACCATCACTGTCATTCTTGCCTCTCACTGAGCTGCTGTAGTAGCCTACTAACCAGTCCCTCTGCCTCCAGCTACTCCCCATCTGCAGTCCATCCTGTAAATGCTACCAGGTAATGTTTTTAAAATACAGTTCTCATGTGCTCAGAGTCTTCAGTGGTTCCCTTTCTTACCGAATATTATTCTTGGTATTGTAGCCAGTCTGTAGTCAGGTTCCAGTCTGTTTTCCAAGTTGTTTGCCTAGTTATTCCCTTTGAGCATGCGATGCCGCATCTCACGTTTCACCAGGAGATCCAGGGTGAGATCAGTGGTTCTTATAGCACTTAACCTACTGATTAAGATGCAGGGGCATTTGGACAGAATACTCCAGATGGTGGTAGTGTGACTATAACCGTGAAGTGCATCACATCATCTCATTTCCGTAGTTAGGTAGACAGGCAACTTCTCTATATAAGTGGGTAGAGTTAAATATTTGCTAAGTGTTCTGAGGTCCACAGATGGGAAGGTAGGTTAGAAATGTCAGCTTTATACAGTGATGACCTTCTCCTTCCCTTTCTCTACAGACAATGTTGACTGCTATCTCCATGAGTGCCATCGCTACCAACGGGGTGGTACCAGGTCAGTGGGCTGAGGCTGGATGTCAGGAATCATGTGCTGTGAACCCAGGGATGTAGACTTCCAAGGAAGAGAACATTATTTAGTCTGCTCTTCTGGGCTACAGCAGAGGAGTGGTCTGTAGGCCACAGACACTGAACTATTTGACTTCAGGACACCCTCTTTAAAATGTCTCATTTTCTAAGCTAGAATGGTTTAATTTCGGGTCACATTCTTAGATTTTTATTGGCATATAGTTTATTGGGCTCTCATGCCTATAGTAAATTTTCTCAAATGTTTGTAAGTAGTACTGGCAAGTTGTGGAGTGTTAGCTATGCAGGCAGTATATCTTAAAAAACGTCTTCCTCACTTCCCACTAGCAAATCTACTTTTTTAAAAAATCACATTCAGTATTTTCAAACACCTGAAACATATTTATCCATCATGCGTATTTTTGTTCTTATTTATGACTTGTTTGCATGCCTCTTACTAATGCGCTCTTTTTAGCCTGTTCATCTCTCTGTTTGTCTTTTAGCTGGGGGCTCGTACTTTATGATTTCCCGGGCACTGGGCCCAGAGTTTGGTGGGGCTGTTGGCCTCTGCTTTTACCTTGGCACCACATTTGCAGCAGCCATGTATATCCTTGGTGCCATTGAAATTTTTCTGGTGAGTAATGACTTAATTGTGGTCTGGGTATGAATGTAGAAGAGGTAGAGATTTGAGTTTAATTTGTTCTTTGATATCAAAGCTTCTAACGTCAGATCTAGGCGTCAGTTGGGTGATTGACTGCTAGACTGTTACTGAACTCCCGTGGTCACTATTGTGAATATGAGGCACAAAGTTTGAGGGTACATGCTGTTTGCCTACCCCTCCCCCTCCACCCAGTCACCACCACCCTCGCACTCCAACCAAGAAGTTAAAGATTTTGCACCAGTGGCAAAAAATGTAAAATAAAGTCACCTTTGTTTTCTTTTATAGTCTTTTTCAGGTGAAATGAAATGTTTTTTTTGTTTCTGTATTTATTCACTGGAATGTATTTTTTTACTGTTTCATGTAATGATAGCAGAAGAACAGAGCTCAAGGTTATCGTGACAATTTTTTATATAACTCTGGGAATAGAATTATTAACGTATTCCATTTTTTTTTTCCTATTTGGAAATGTTGGTATCCGTAACAGCATGGAGACAAAAGAAAAAGAAATCCTTTATCACATTTCGGAAGGCATTCCTGATCTTCCCAAACAGAAATTGGGTTAAGAAGGTCTGCAGTCATTTAGGTCTCAGCTCTGCTTTCCTTTGTGAAAACAGGAAAACTACAATAATCGTGTTACTGGATTACTTTGAAATGACCTCACTTTCTATTTATTTTATCTCATAGGTGTATATTGTCCCCCGGGCTGCCATCTTTCTCAGCGATGATGCCCTCAAGGAGCCGGCCGCCATGCTAAATAACATGCGTGTCTATGGCACAGCCTTCTTGATCCTGATGGTCCTGGTGGTGTTCATCGGCGTGCGCTACGTGAACAAGTTCGCCTCGCTCTTCCTGGCCTGTGTCATTGTATCCATCCTGGCCATCTATGCTGGAGCCATCAAGTCTTCTTTTGCCCCTCCACACTTCCCGTACGTGTGATAGCCATCAGTACTGGGTAGTCATTGACAGTATCTGGGGGTGTGATGATGTCAAGTCAGCATTTTAGAGTCTCTCTGAGATTTCCCTCTTCGGTAAGCCCAGTTAGCAATTAGGCAGGAAGCCTCCTAGCAAAACTGTATCATAGCAATCCTTTTCTTTACGTCCCAGCCTAGGACTAGCAGCTTTAACTATCTCTTGGATATACATATTAGTTGGTGTATTTGTTTTTTTCCCCCTACTTGATGATCGTCATATTTGAACTATTCATGAAGGGCTTTACAAAGAGCATAGTTATTCCAACAACCTTTATAAAGTAGATGAACGCTGGATTCCTTTTTTTTAACATATAATTTATTTTTTTTGCTGTTGAGAATGTACACAGCAGAACATGCACCAGTTCAGCCATTTCAACATGTACAATTCAGCGACAGTGATCACATTCTTTGAGTTGGGCAACATTCTCACCCTCCTTTTCTGAGTGGTTCCTTCCCCATTAACATAAGCTCCCTGCCCCCTAAGTTTTCTGTCTAATCTTTGGAGTTGCTGTTGTCAATTTGATCCCATATAGATAGATCTTAAAAGAGCACAGTGCCCAAAGCAGACTTTTTTTTACTAGTTAAGCTAAATTATTATTTGGTTTTAAGAAGACTTCAGGGGATATTTTGGTTTAAGGTTTAAAGACTGGTTTGACGAACTAGGAGGCAGAGCAGAAGCACTAAACACCTTATTAGGCCAGTTAACTGGGTTGTCCCATGAAACTATGACCTTAAACCTCCAAACCAAACACCCAGATCCCATGAGGTTTGGTTGTACATAAGCAGCCTCAGCAGCTACTATTTTTAATGTTGGATTCCTTTTATTAATGAAAAATCAAGAGAATCAAAAGAAGCCTAAACTGCTACCTAAATATTTGTAATCAAGTTTTTTATTCTGCTGTTGGTACCGTAATGGAATCTATAGTCATGAGATAGAGGGAGCTAAGTGCCATCATTTGCGTGTGTCTTTCTCTGTAGATGACATGACACATCACGTAGTCGTGCACCTTGAAGCCCATGTTTTGAAGTAGTGATGAATCTGTGCAGATCTGTAACTCACAAGCTCACCTGTCTCCCCTTTGCCTAGTGGCGTAGGGACTGGTGGTGGTGTAATCTTGGAACAGAGATGGGTTTTGAAAAGTCATCTGGATCATTCAGGGATCAAATTCATTAATCCTATGTTGATTTAACCAGGCTACAGAAAAATGTATTTTTTTCAAACAACTTCCCCAAAAGTTAATTAACGGCAGAGTAGGAACATGCGCCCTGTGATTTCCTGATTCCCAATCCATTGTTTCTTCTCTGCCATGCTGTGTGATGGCAGTGATAGAGTCCATCATAAATCTGTAGTTTGCATACTTATTTGGGAGGCGTAAGCTAGCTAAAGATCTTTTTTAGAGTCATAAAACTATAAAAGGCCACATTCTAGCCATATCTCAACTTGGGAAATTCCAGTCTGCCTATGGCTCTCCTTTGATGCTTCCCTTCTTGCAGCTGTGTGTGTGTGTCTGTGTGTGTGTGTGTGTGTGTGTGTGTGTGTGTGTGTGTGTGTG